GTATCCCCCGCATCAAATTTTATTTTTAAACTGGCAAACCAGATTTATGTAGGTAGTAGGTAGTATAATATATATAAAAAATACAATAAAAACCGAATCCACTATGCTCTTCACATAATTATAAAAGAAGTAATACATAAAGTATAAACCCTATTTATAATAATCAGTAATCACGCTATTGCAGTATTGCACTAATGTATTGACATTATATTAAATTGTATTGTGGTACAAATAATAAATGTTTCAATCCCCCCAACCCACAATCATGACCAAATTAGGCATCGTCAGTCGTCGCCACTGATTGGGTTTATTGGACCCTATTAGCATCCCATTTCTCAACCAGTCCACCAGAGGACAAGCATTCTATGTCCAACGTGTGAACATGAACATTAGAGTACTTTAATCATTAGAGTCAAATGTTCATGGTCCAACATTTATTTCCTACAAAATGCTCAACATCCTTATTGGTTTTTATGGTAGGTATCCGTATCTTCCCAGGGTTTTCTTGGTCTTCTCAAACAGACAAGCAGCTACAGATGCCTGACGGTTTAGCTCTACCCATTTTAGTTCTCTTAGTTTTTTGTAGTCTTCAGAATCAGCCCACCCGAATACAATGAAAAATCAGAAGACAAAAATTTGAACTAATGGCCTGTCAACTAACTTCAAAAAAAATTTCAAACAAACTCACCTAGGAATGATGTTCTATGACAATATTATGTACTAATTATGACCTTTGTATTATTCTTGTTTAAAATTAGATGAACAAAATTGTATGTGTTAATTATTTTATATTAATACCTTTTAAAATATTTTAGGTAATAGTTATTATGTATTCAATGGAAATCATTTGATAGAAAATAGTCCAAGATCTATCATGGATTATGGATTTCCACATTTTGTTAATAAAGTTGATGCAGTTATGATATATGGATTACCACCAATAACTTATCTTTTTAGGTACCTACATGATCAAGTATAAATTTATCTTTAGTATAAATTCATCTCATTTAAAATTGATGTTTTCTATGTTATTACTGAGCAACCATAAAAAACATGTTTTCCAAATAATAGGAAATTTGATTGTTTACAAAAATGTTATGAATATGGTTATTAATGTAAGTATTAAGTTGTAAATAATTTTCTCAACATTTTTTCAAATTACATAAACATTGTATTAGTTTGTTATATATTATACAAAAATGTATTATTATGTTATATATTATATAAAAATGTACTTTTTTTAAAGTTTAAAAACCAATATTAATATAGATATTTATGTAGAAAAACAATTTGAGTAGGAAGGTAAAGGTAACAATAATCATAGGGCAACATTCTTAAATTATTATTTTAATATTATATTAAATTTATTTTTTAAGCGGAGAATACTTTTGGTCGTATGATGATCAACAAAAATTGTTACTACAAAGGCATAGATCAATTAAAGAACATTTCAAAGGTGTAAAAACTCCCATAGACGATGTTCTTACGTGGAAATCTGGTAAATATTTTAATATATTATTTATTTTATGGTCCACTACTCACAAGAATACTAGGTCCTTGAAATATATAATATAGTCATATATTTTTTTTTAAATTTTCAATGTTAATATTATTACCAGCGCAATCTCTTAAAAGATGGCATTAGCAATTTCAATACCATGAAATATTATAATATGTAGAAAGCGGTAACATTTAAACCACAGGAAATCATGTTTGTGACTGATCAAACAACAATCACAGCCCGGTTGAAAATTTGAAAGGAAATAAATTGTAATATGAAAATTAGTCTTGAAAATAAGTAATTGACAATAATGTTCAAATGTTGAATATCAAACGAGTGGTTTAGGTTTACTCTATACAGCTGCTGCTGCTGCTTCTATGTCAGAGTGGATAGAATAACAGATGGCAAACTGAAACCTTGCTTGATAATTCTACCATTAGAGTATTTTGCTGAAAAATTTGATTGCTTTTTTTTAACCAAAAATTAATTTATTACCCTGTTTAACAACTAAAATGCTATACAATTTGGAAAAATTGACTTTTATTTTCATTTAAAATTTGAATCCGTGAAAATTCTTTTTTTTACTTATTTTTCTGAATGAAACTGAAGTGATTAGTGAAGACAATTTCTAGTACATATGATATGAACGTCAGTATATTACTCATATAATTTTTCAATACAAACATAGGCAATACTATGGGTCAGACAAGTCAAGCCATGACCTGACTTAACTAATATTAACTGTTTAACATACTGAGTTAATAGAATTCCAGATTAAAATCAAAAACTTATTATGTAGGTAATAATAATTTTTTTTTCATGTTTATTTTTATTGGTCTGTCCTAATAAAATGTTCTAGATTTGCTTATGAATATACATATAAGTGGATAACTATTTATAAATTGAGACATAGTATATTATCATAATGGTCACAAAAAATTATCTGACTTCCATACTTAAATATAATATATAACATATACATAATATTATGTACCCAATTATTTATTTGAACAATACAATTTTTAGATTAATAAGTTTCATACTATGACATAATACAAATTATTTTTTTAGGAGAAACATATTTCTTTACTGGAAATCAGTTTTGGAAATTTAATCATTATCACAATAAGACGGAAGAAGGATATCCAAAAAATGCTGCAGAATTTTTACTTGGATGTAATTCTTAATTATTATGAATATTACAACTAATTTACAAAAAAAAAAAAAAATAAATTGTACAGATTAATTTAAAGGACAATTGTTTAAAAAATAAGTTAACTATCATTGTGTACTTTAATTTAATAACTTAGAACTATTTATTATTATTAGGTAGGTACATATATGTAAATAATTTAACTAATTTGAGTCGAGCGTTAATGGAATTAAATATTAATGAAGTTACTAAAAATGAAATTGAATGAACTTGGACATACAAATTTAAATTTGATTACATACTATAACATAATGCATTGTTATTAATCTTACTTATACATTTATTTTAAAATGTCACTGTGTTATTATTGTTGGAGTATCAATGTATATATAATTAATTATATGTATAGTGGTATGTATACTGCACTAACCAGACTCAGCGAGTAACGAGTTGAACTTAGTAGGCCACGTCAAATTTGGGCCGGGTTAGTAGTATATTATATATTATAGTCAAAAATATTTAAACTATGAACAATGAAATATGAATAATAATAAATATTATGCCTTATTGAAAATTGGGTCATTAACCTTTTTAGGGCCAATGAAAATCCTAACTCGTCGGGGGATATCATGGCTTAAATATACAAGGTTATTGCAATAGTACCCCCACTATATCATTTTATCACGTTAAGGAATTAAAATGGCAGCGTAAGGGGACGACGTATACTGGCTACATTATATTATATGCTATGATATGTACCGTACCCTTACGCTGCCATTTTATTTTTATTTGATAACAATTTGGCTATGTGCAATAACCTTGTATATTTAAGCCATGGGGGATATCTGGCCTATCAAGCTCTGTCACTAACATTTTTTTTTTTGTGGTATGAAATAAAAATTACCAAATTTGTTTTTAAAATCTATACCTAAAATGTTATGAGAAAAAATATAATATTTATGAAAATAAGCTTCAATATTATATCTGTTAAAAATAATGAAATTTCTATATGGCTGTTTTATAAAATATAAAGAAATATGGACTCAAACTTAGTATTTAATTTCACTACTATCAAAGAATATCCTTTAACCACCACAGAAAAACAGGGTATGCAATAAATTTTAACCCTAATTATATTTGAATATAAATATAAAAATGTCTTTGTTACTATCCTTTCCTCCCAATTATATGGGGTCAGCCACTCTTTTCTTACAACTCCACAGGGCTTTGCCTCCTATTCCTTCTTTACCCACACCACCAATTTTCATTTCATTCTCTATTCTATCTATTGATCTTTTCTTCGGTATCACTTTCCTTGTCTTTCTTTCAACATTAATATCTATAATCACTCTTACTGCATCTTAGTTACCTCTTCTCATAAGATGACCATCTCAGACTTTTTTCCCTGATTTAGTGCCACACCTACACTATTCCTAATGGACTGATTTCTAGTTATATCTTCCCTAGTCACTTAACACATCTCATCTTTGGTATACTCGAATTTCTGTTTCGTTTTGGTGTCTATTATTACATCATTACTGTGGCATCTTCGTTTATTAACTATCCTAGTCCCTAGATAAGCATATTATGAACCATTATAAGTTTTATTTTTATCAGAAAAATATATTAATGCTTCTAATACAAAAAGATAATATATTATATATTATAGAGTTAAACCGTATTCATCCATTGCTGCAGGACAACTTATCCAACATAAATTATTTATAATTATAATATATGAACTTTATTCAAGGATATTGAAAAGTAATTAACAATATTCATTAGTGTTTAAGTAATCAATAAATCAAATGCAATCGCATATTAATAGAAGCATGTATTTTATATTGTTATCATACAAGAAAATTGAGAATTATATGAAATTAGGTATTACAAAAGATTTATAACAATATAATTAAAATCTAATGATATTTTAAATGGGAAAATGTATACATATTATTAAGGTACCTAATTCTGATTTGTGATATAGTTTATAATTTGTATAAACTGATTAAAAATTATTCTAAATATATATATATTTAAAGTATATTTTTCCTCTATTTTAATTAAGTAATAATAAGTATACTTAGGTATAGGTATACTAAAATAATAAAACATTAACATTTTTAACATATAATTAATAATACAAATATTTAAATGACTAGAGATTTATATTGAAAATAAAGTTGTAGCTTATACTCCACTGTAAATATATTAAGAACACCTTCAATGAAAACTAGATTAATTTATCGGGGGTAGTTGTTAACACAATTAAATAGTTCAATAACATAAAGGCAGGAGATTACAAGAGCTAAATAAAAATGTGAACAACAATTATCTGGAGAAATATTTGATAATATCAAATATTTTTAATCGTCATCGTCGTCGTCATCTGATGGAACGAACAATTCATTTTCTTCTAGAAAATTAGCCATGTATTTACTTATGGTGGCCCCAATTAATAAACCTGGCACAACCGTGAAAATTATACCCACTAGACCAAACGGAATTTTTTGTGGTTCAGGCAATAATGCTCCAGTAGATGATGTGGTGGCTGTACGTACATAATATGGTCGCATAATTCTTGCCATTTTCAAGAAACTTGATATCTTAGTTTTCATTTTTATTATTAGTATAACAAAAGAAACAATGAATACGTGAAACGTTTATTAATTTAATAAATGTTCAGAATAATACCAGATAAGTACTTCAAAAATTTAAATTGACAAATCGTCAATTGACCCGCGATCGTGTTATTACTCATTATCAACTAAATTTTTAAGGTGGTCCATACTCCAAAGTCAATATAATATGATCTAAGCCATTATAGTCCATGATAATATCTGGTAATCATATGGGAAATTGGAATATATTATAAAACCATAGATAACAAAGATTAAATATATATATAGAAATATACTGGTATATGGATACTGGTATACACTGGTTTTGATAAGGATGACTAAACATCGGGGATAAAAAATACTTTCTGTGCATTTGCCTACACTGATCCGGTTAAAAGTTACCATTTCTCCCGAACACTTCTACAAATTAATTTGTCTTCATTTTCCTGATTCTTCTTGTAAAATATCATCACGATGTTTTTAATTTTTATAGTCACGTTTTAGAAAATATTTAAGTTTTGAACAAAAATTAGTAAAGTTTTTGAGTTATTTTATTTTATGTTATTGCCTTTTATATTTTTTTGGTGCATTTGTTATAACCCTGTAAAGCTGGGTAAATTTTTTTAATTTATAGAGAAGACTAGAAGCCATTTGCAATGACACTAGAAGTCAAGGAGGGAAACTTGACTAATTCAAACAATCAGCAATTAAATGGTATGTATAATAAATAGGTAATACACTAATTTTAAAATCTTAACTATAAAAGTGTTTAAAATTAATTACAAATTTTATATCTATGGTGCAGCATCCTTAGCAAAAAATATTATGTGTATTATGGTTACTATTTAAATTAAAAACAAATTTGTGAGTACGTTTTTGCACTATCAACTAAAAATAATATGTTAATTAAGTGGTGGAATTAAATTTAAATGTTGTAATCATGCATCTATATCATGCCTATATGTATTTAATTTCATTTAGTATTTTATAATTTTATTAGTATTTTATTATATAATTATTATTATTTAAGATTATTAGTGGTGTTTATAAGTTATAAGAATTTTTATTTTTATATTTGTAAATATTTGCAAGTCCCCCTTTTCATAACCATCTACTAATGTTATTGCAATGAATAATGGGCAAGTACTTTTCTAAATATTTTTAAATTTATTTATTACCTAGAAACAGTTGTGTGTTGAGGAGTTTACTCACTTCTCCAGTTTTTTTCTTAAAAGTGTTTACTCTATAATATGTTCTATGATATGAGGGTTTAACCTGTATACATGTATTGCTTATGATTTTAAATTCTCAAATGGTATTTTATAGAAACTAAGGGATAATCATAAAGAAATTTGAGGAACATTGATATTTTACATTATTCTACATTGACTTTTTATGAATATATATTACTGGGTGCTTTACATTAATACATTTTTATTATTTTTCTGAATTTAAGTTTCTAAAAATATTAAGTATCATTAAAGTTTTCAAGTTTGCATAATATTTGTTTCATTACACTACAACACATCTATACAAGACTATCTTAAAAAGTATAAGGTATTTGTATCTGATTGTGATATTAAGGGCTGCAAAATAATAATTATTTTAAGTGAAGCAAGATAATTCTTTTTAAACTTAACGATACAATTTTTACCATTGTTGCCTAACTGTGTGAAAAACGTCTTACCATAAAGGTGTATATTTTTGGCAATACATCACTGCCTTAGAATATTAATTAAAACAAAATTTAAATATCAATGACTAAGTTCCATAATAATTATTAAATAATAAATGGGTTATATTTTTGACAATTGATTCTAATTTTGACTTTTAGTTCTATCAAAAAATTATAATTAACTGATTGTCATTAAATTATAATGTATGTTGAAGGATAGTTGAGATTTAAAATAAATATAAACATCATTCTGTGAAAAATATAAATTATTATATTTGTCCGGTGACAATTTTCTGCTCTGGTGCGTGCTAACTCCTCTTCCGCAAGGCCTCGTGTAGATGCTGTACCAGTTGCACTGCCCTTGTGCCATTCCTGGTAATAATACCAATAGACTTATAACTTATTGTAAATCAGTCATCATTTCTAAATGCTCATATAACATTTTGTAAAGAATAGGCTGTAAAATTACATCCGCCATAATTTAGCAAAAGAAGAAACAGTAATTGAGTGGTTCAGTACTGAAATGGAAAAATGCTTCCTGCAAAACAGGGAAAAGCTTAATTAATTGACTTCATTTAGTTACTTCTATCAATGTTCATGAACAACTACTAGGTTTCCCTGCATTAGATACTAGAACTGGAAGTGATCAAACTAATGCAGTATACCAAGCCTTTGCAGACTTATAGGGAGTAATATCTAACTGAAAACTGTAGATTGTTTCAATGGAACTTGTGCTTAAGTAATTAATTATAAAGACTCAAAATTGTATACCTATCATTTAGAAGGTGATTACTTAAGCATTCTCACTCTTCATTTTTCCATTTAATAGTACATTTACTCAAATTAAAAATGTTCAGTACTTATAATTAAAAACTAAATTTTCAATATTTTTTGCACTTAAGGAGTGTCCGTGGTGCACAAACTTCTATTTTTCAAATGAAATTTCCCCTTTTTTACTGCTAATTATTTAGCAGCTGATTCCCTTAAAAATGTTGATATATCTAAATCTCAATTCTAATGAGTAGTTTCTGAGTTATTGTACAAACTAAAAATAAGAATTCTTAAATATGGTTTTACAAATATATAAACAATATGTAATATTAAATATAGTATTTATAGGTACTTGGGTCAATTTTACAAATTATTTATATTGTTAGATCAATAATAGATAGTACTTTCTAATATTTTCCAATAATTTAAGGCCCCATATCTACTTAACTGTCTTCACCCATTAACATATAATCCTTAGTACAAAAAGTTAACTCAAAAACTACTTGTTCTAATTTTGATTTAGATACATCAAAACTTAAAGAAAAGGAATCTGTTGAATAATTAAAAGTAAAATAAGGGGTTCTTATTTGTAAAATAGAACTTTGTATTTTCACAAGATCATCTTTAACTTTTAAGTGCTATTAGAATTATCAAGGAGGCATTCAAGAAATTTAATTATATGTGTAATTTAAGCATGAAAATTAGATTGGGAATGCTTGAAAAACATCTTGTATACAAAATAGTATTAAAATGTGTTTTCAATCTCAAATTTAGGTGAACATTGTGTCTAGGTGTGGCCATTTTTACTAGACTCAAACATGCTTGGGATAAAATGTACACAAAAAGTTTAATTCTGGATATATTTTTTTTTAATTTCCAATATTTGCAATTTGAAGCAGTGGTCCAACTGGGTTCTTGATATTCAGTGGAAATTATATTATAGAGAATAATACTTTTGAGGGTATGGGATATCGGCTTTATATTTTATTATTATTTGACTTAATTTGAATTTAAAATAAAAAAATTGTAAATTTAAACAACATTTAAATTTTTTGTGACAATATTTAAGCAAATTGATGTAGCATTCCTCCAAAAATAATAGTCTCTTTCGATTTTGTAATGGGTGATTTCATTTTAATATTATTCAAAAACTAAAAAACAATGATTCGGTTTAAATACGTTTTGTTCATGTTATGCACGGGCCAGAGAGGGAAAACGAACAGTGCATTGACATCCTCTTAATACCCAGGCTGTTTATTTTCTTCAAATAAAAAGTTTATTTATCCATCCAAGTTTTAAATATACTTAGAGGAAATATTTATACACTATGATGGTGTTGCATTAAATTGGAAGACAATAATTTATTGTCATATCAAAAAATGAGTTAGTGCAGTCTTGCACTTTATCTATATGAAAATAAACAATTGTATGCAACTTAATATTAAATTTTAAATATATTAATTTAATTATGATAAGACTTACTAAATAATAACAATGTTATATTGCAGGAAATATAGAAATGGTTTGTAATGATCATAAAACACCAACTGTAGATCATGTTATTAATGGAATCAGTACTCAAGAAGTTAATTCTGATAGTACTACAGCTGTTAATCATGTGGATGTTGTAAACAATAATGAATCCCATAAAATTGGAAAAAAGCAGTTAAAAAAAAATACCAAAAAAGAAAAAGATGTAGGCAAAATGATTACAGGCGCAAACATTAATGATATTTCTCATAGTGATGACAGTTCTGAGGAAAGTACAGATAATGATAAAAAACCAGGTACTGAGATAATTTTCATTCAAGACCTTGGATTTAATGTGAAAATAGTTTGTCCTGGAACTGAAGCTTTTGAAATTCAAGTAGGTTAAATGAAATACAAATTATTCAATTTAAAATTGTTTGTCATATGTAATATTTAATGTAGGTATCTAGTATGGAATTGGTTCAAGAGATTCACCAATTACTGATGGACAGAGAAGACACATGTCACCGTACTTGTTTTTCATTACAGTTAAATGGGGTAACATTGGATAATTTTTCAGAACTAAAAACTATTGATGGTCTTAAAGAAGGATCTATTATTAAGGTATGTCTTAGTATTAGTTTGATGTTGAATATAGTGATAGTTACAATATAGTTTATAACTCTAGAATTGGTAACAATACCATGTCCCAAAAAATTCTACAGGAACACAGAATATAACTTAAACTAATAACGACCCAACATATCTTGAAACCAATAGACACCTTGAATTATCTTCAATTCAGTCTTAATGAATTATTTGCCTATTATTTATTTTAAACTAAAAGAACTTGAAATACTTGTTCCAAAATATATTTTCTAATATATTAAAAACACCTTGATTTTTAATTTTTTTTATAATATTTGTAGGTTGTTGAAGAACCGTACACAATGCGTGAAGCTAGAATTCATGTTCGTCATGTTAGAGACATATTAAAATCATTAGAAATGGCAGATGCTTACAATGGTGTTGATTGTAATTCATTATCATTTTTAAATGTTGTTACTCAAGGTGATAAGTTTGATATAACTTTATTTACGTAAGCGGTATTATAAACTATTGTGTTTTTAAAAATAGAAAAGAAAAAAACTCGGTCTGAAAGTGTTGATTGCACTCCTCCAGACTATATAATGCCAAACAATAAAGATCGACCTTTACTTCCTCTACACCCAACTTCAAAAGACTTAAAAG